ACCATTGCGGTTACACAATTAAATTTAAAACTGTAACTATCCGATCCAATTTTATAACACTATCTAAAATTAAATATAATTAACAATATCAGAAATTCATTTCGATTCAATTCGTTGGGTTTTTAGAACCGTTTAATATTCACAAATATTCAATATTTCACTTTGCAGTAGTTACATTTCCAATAATTGCTCTGTGCCAAGAACGACATTTCCTCTCAGTATATATGTCTATCAGTTTCATGTAGATAACTTGTTGTTTCTCGCGAATTCTGTATATATATACCAAATTAAAAAAAATATAGGAATTTTTACCCTCTTGAAATTCTTAAATAGTATTCTTTTTCGGCATAATTAATCATTCGTGAATAATCCTTCATATGGGAAGACCGCTAAAACTTAGATAGTTTCTACTAGGCCTGGGCAAAAAGACCGGAACCGAAATACTGAACCGGAACCAAACCGAAATACCCGAAACCGGAATCAGACCGAAACCCTCAAATACCCGAATGGTTCCCATATTTCTATAACCAAAATAACTGAACCAAACCGGAACCGAACCAAAAACCAAATGGATACCCGAACTATATATATACACAAGATTCATACATATATGGTATATGTTAATAATAACTATATACCCATAAGATGTTTAAGAAAAAAAATCTATATAGCCATAGGCCATAAGTGTAAAGATATGTATCGATGACCCAATATTCATTTTCCTTTATTCTTGAGAAACAGAAAGGTTTTCTCGATCTAATCCCTTAATTTTTGATTTTTTTATTCTTAATGTTTGATGATGTCTAAACAATTAAATTTATATTATGGTGTTTGAATTTTATTTCAGTTTTTTACCCTTTTTTGTTGTTTATGCTTAATATTACCCGAAAACTCTGTTCTTGGTTCTTTTCAAATATTTTGGATATTTATTATCCGAAATAACCGAACCCAGACCCGAAACCAAGTAAGAATCGAATTGTTTTGGGTATTTTTCCGTTCCTAATTTTCCTATCCAAACCGAACCGAACCTGAAACTATCTGAACCGAACCGAACCGAAAATAGGTTAAGTAGTAAATGGATCCTCTAACTCCCTATCCAAACTACTCGAAACCCGAAATATCCGAACCGAACCAAACTGATACCCGAAACGTCCAAGCCTAGTTTCTCACCATCTAATGTTTTTTGTTAGAATTTTACATTGCTGCGTCATTATTCCGGTTAAAATACTCCCATAAATATGTGTATCCTTTTATTACGGAATTATTGAAAATAGTCCACCGATGTAGGGTAAAAATAATCGAAAGAATATATATTTTTTTTTTGATAATCATGGTGTGATTCTAAAAACATTCTAGACCCAAAGACTAATTATCATGAGGTCCACAAAATCTACGTTTTCTTACCACTTAAGACGTTCTGGATGGTCGGACTCGAACACAGGTGACAGTACTCACAGCTAAATGAAGCCACAAAAACTGTCACCGTGTGAGATAATATCTAAGACTAAATAATGAATTAGAACAAAAAATAATCATTCATGTTCTTTCAATAATAATAATAATCATTCTTGAGAGCCAATTTTCAAAAAAAAAAAAACAATTTTTCCATTCTAAATACGTCGAATCAAAGGTGCAACGTAGTGCAAAAAAATCTCCAAATGGGTAATATATATACTAGAGGTTAGTCCACCATAATATGAATGCTAGATTTTTGACCCGCGCTTAAAAAGCACGGGTACTATTTTTCTTATTTTATCTACAGATGGATCGATAAGTCTTTTGTTTTGATCATATAATCAAGATCAAATTACTATGCGGGCATGAAGAAATTTTTGTTATATAATGTCTCAGACAATTTTTTAAGTTTTTAAATAAGTTAACAATGGTTGTGCCTAAAATGTGTACTTGAGAAAGATTGTATATTTAACAATTAAATGGTCCAATTTTTTTTTAATTTTGTGATTAATTCGTAAAATCATTTAATTACTAAATTTCAATAGCTCAGTCCGACCCGCAACGGGTTGAGTCATTTTTTCTACTCAAAATTTTGACCCGTCTGACCCGCAAAGAAAATATATTTTTGCAAGTTTTTTTATAAAATTTGCAAGAGAATCAGCCCACTAATGAAACCTATTAGTATATAATTTATAGGCCCAAAAAACAAAAGATCATATTGTCATTAATGAAAATAAAAATTTGTTCATATCATTAAGGGTATAATTGAAAAATATAAAAAATTCATTAAACAGAATATTTCTATTTTAATGGTATTGATTACATTTCTAAAGGTATTTTCAATTATATATTGTTTATTGAGAATTATTATACTAGTTGAGAGATGAAACAATATTTCAACCGATTGAACTAACCTGAATATTTGCGGTCACCTTCTGTGTTGAACCGTCTAATTCACCTTATTTTTTATCATCAATCAAAGTGTCATGTTAGGTTAGCAAATAAAAAATATTAAGATTAAAAAGAAAAAAAATTGCTAGAAGAAAAGGGAAAGACGCCGACGTTAACACGTGCTAACTGAATTTACTCTCTCCGACGGTTCTAAACCACTTCTCGCTGTGCATCGAAGCATCTTGCTCGCTCTCTTCAGATCTGGGTTCACCGGTCTGTGAATTGTTTTTTTTGGGGGGGGGGGATATCTCCTCTTTGACTGCCACAATTACCACCATGACTCATCTTCACACTTTCTCTGCTTCGCTGGTTTATCGGCCATTGGATATCCATCTTCATTTGGATGTTCACATCTCACCCTAGTGGATGTATGCATCATACATCAGATCATCCCCATTGTTTCTAGTGTTTGGCAGTTCCCTTTCTGTCCTCAAAGGGAAAGAGATCGACAACTGGAAGCAACACTCCTCTCACTGCCGCGCTGTGCTTTACCACCTCAAGATCGGCATCTTGAACACTTTCCTTTTCTCATCTCTTTTGCTCACATGTCGATACAGTCTTCCTACCTCTTGAACTCTACCTGTGGAAACGGTCCGTTAATGTTTCAAAAATGGATCACCAATCTATGTTGTTGGGCCTAGTAAGAGCATCTGCATCAATAAATCTCTCTATTCCCGATTCCCAAAATTTTTTATTTTTTATTTTATTTTTTTAGTTTGATATTTTTTTTAAAAAAAAAACAACCAACCAATCGTGGGCCGCCACGTGTCAGTGGAGCCCGCGAATAGTGTTGATACGGGTTCACTGGGGTGGACTCTCGTGATGCAGGTTCATCTGCATCAGATTAATATATTAATTTTTTTTTTGGGATTTGTGTGACCCCTCTTTAAAACTCTTGATGCAGATGCTCTAAGGTTATTAAAGATCGTGTATTATCTTTACAGACCAATTGTTTGTGTGGGATCTTGGTATCGATGACCAGCTTGCTAAAGGTTTTCGATGAGTTCATCAGGATTTTATTGAACTCCTAAGCTTTTTTTTTTAAAGGATTAAACCCGGATCTATTAAACATAGACTTAATCATCGGGTAGAAGTACAACCTACGGATGAATCTTTTCCTGGCATTCAAATGGACCGAAAACAATAGCACATATCCGTATGACCCATGTAAAGTTAATAATTTCGCACCAAAGGAGAATTGATCCCTAACCTGAACCAACATGGCAATTTCTCCTCTAGTGAAAATCACTAGACCACCACAATGTGGTTTGAACTGCTAAGCTTACATTGTCATTTCTCTTTTGTGAAAAGAAAGCTAACTTTCTCATTGCCGGTGGGTTCACCCGGCTCATCATCATCATCTTCCCAACCTTCTTCATCAACATCATCACCATATGCCTTCTCCATGAGAAGTGTTTCCCCTTCAGCCCCAAAGCAAGCTAGGGATTCTCTTCAAATCCTTAATCTTTTTGCTATCTTGTGTAGTGGTCCGTAGGGTATCAGAAAATGCAACAGATCTCGTTTCAACGATCTTACGAGGAGTAGATTGGGTGTCAACGTCACAATTAAAAGTGACTAAATTTCAAAGTTCCGGCATTGCTGTGAGCTCTTCTCCGATGCATTCAAATCTTGTTTTGCATTCGTTGTCATTATATTTGATAATTTTCTTTATGTATATCCTTTATATTTTAAACGTGTAGTGTTATGATTAACTCTGATTGTAGCTTGAATCTGTAAGTGTTGAATAAAAGTTGCGTTTCAAAAAAAAATTGTGGTATTAAGAAAATGAAACATGGAAAAGGAGGTATGAGAGCTTTTAGTAAACTTTCTAACAACAAAGCTATTGCTAGTATAGAGTAGTGACTAGAACTTAAAGGTGGGACAGATCGGATATCCAGGATATTTTAGGAAATCTGGATCCGGGTCTTCCGGATATCCAGACTAGAACTCGAATACCCACGGATATCCGTATCCGTTTTTACAAAAATATAAATAATCAAAATTAAATTAAAAACTAAGCATTTCTCTTTTTGCAAAAAAGTTTAGAAAACTAATAAAATTTAATAAAACTAAGTGTTAGTTATTTTAATAAAAATTATATATAATATATCTCTATAAATATAATTATATTTTAAATATTTTAAAAATATTTAGTGGGCCCAAATCCGGATATCCGAACTAAAATTTTCACTATCCGGATCCGGATTCGCTAGATCCGTAAAATTGCTATCCCGGATCCAAACCCCCCGGATATCCATTTTTCAGAGCGGATCGGAGTTGATCTCAGATCGGATAGCAGATATTTAGTCCCAGCCCTACTAGAACTTACAGGTAATTAGTCTTGGGGAACAGTTTCTACCATCAAACTTGGGGACCCCAATTTGGGGTGTCCAATGTCTTGCTGACTAGTTATGTACAATATTATATATATGTTCGCTAGCTAATTATAGACAATGACATTAAGTCTATTAATACAATCAATAAGAAATATGAATAGTTGTCAACTATCTCCTGTAGAAAATCAGCAATAAACCTTTACATTTCTCTCCTAATGAAAACTCTATAAATACCCATTAAACACCCAACATCTATCTCCACCCATCTCACACAGTATAAACCCACTACTATTCTTGAGCTTTTGTTAGAGCTTTTCAGCTACAAAAACAAATGGCTCCAAGAATCTCTCTGGCACTCTTCCTTGCTCTTCACCTCATCTCCTTCACTTACACTTCTGCTACATGCTCCAAGTGCATCCCCACGCCAACGATCCCAAGCACAGGCTCTTGTCCTAGAGATGCCCTAAAAATTGGTCTTTGCGCTAGTGCGCTCAAGCTAGTTGACCTAACAGTGGGAAACCCACCCGTAAAGCCATGTTGCCCTCTCATTGAAGGCTTGGTTGACCTTGAGGCTGCGGTTTGTCTCTGTACGTTGGTCAAGGCTAACATTCTTGGCATCAACCTTAGCCTCCCCATCGATATCAGCGTACTCCTCAATGTTTGTGGTAAAAATGCTCCAAAGGATTTCCAGTGCGCATAAGTTCATTACTTATGACATATCTAAAGACGTCCTAAAATAATGAAAGAAAAAGATTATACGGTTTACGACTGCTTGAACTTTATTACCGTATCTTATTGTGTATGTTTTTCCTTGGTTATTGTATTATGTTTGTATTTTTCTTGAATTGTTTAAATATGATGAACGAAACTGTTCTCATGCAATAATGGATTTATGGGTTTGTGTGTGTAATCGCAAGGTTGTACTCCTTCGGTTTCATTGTTACTCCCTCTCCTTTGTATTTGTTTTTTTTTAATTTGATTAATAAAAGTATCAATCGATGTTGTCGTCTATATCGGCCTTAATTAGATGTCTATCCAAAGAAACAAGGTGAAATGATAGATAACACTCACTTAAAAACACGTATTAGTTATTTCATTTCGACATTCCGACTCAAACAAAGTGGAAGCAAATTTAGTTTTTTTCAAAGACAAACTGAAATCGATACCATGATTTGTATTACAAGAAAGAACTGGAAAAGATAACGGCCATTGTGTCAGAGATTCCCAGTTCGAATAATCTTATTCGCTGGACGAAATTAATATTATATGTTGTAGATTTAGGTTGGGGAGATTAGTTTCTGTCCATATCTTTTGGTAATTCAAAAAAAAAATACAAGAAAGAATTGCTGTCCATGGATTAATAGTACGGTCATTTCACTGCATACTACATGTTGCCAAATATAAAAACATAGTATTAATATCAATTTGAACAAAAATAATATATTAATATCAATACTACATGGCATCGTTTCAATTTTATTGACGCGTAAGTTGACTATTATTTAAGAAAGGGAAGAAAATATATGTATACTTTCTAAATATAAACATATCACAACGATACAGTAACCCTATACTCAATAGGGCTGTTCGTTTGGTTGACGCTGGTGGCTGCGTCGGCGTCGGCGTCAATTATTTTGACAAATCATGTTCGTTTTGTTGACGCGGATAATTGCGTCTAGACGCCGCGTTTAACGCTGCGTTCTGCGTTTAAAATTTCTTGACGCCGATTTTTATCAGCGTTTTGACGCAGATTTCTGCGTTAATAGACGTAATTACGCGACTACCCTTACAATACTTCATTATTTACCAAAAGACCTAACCCTAATCTCATCTCTTTTGACGCAGCTTCACGCTGGACGCCGAATCTCATCTCTCATCTCTCTCTCCCTCTCAGACCTCTCGTCTCTCTCAGGCTCTCAGGCTCTCTCACTCTCGACCTCGGACATCTCAAGCTCTCTCTCTCGATCTACACATCTCCGAAATCATCTCATCTCGAAGCTCTCTTCTCCATGGCGTCTCATCTCGAATGAAGCCTAGCCTCAAGCTTCGTCTCTCAAGCTCTCCCAAGCTTCTCACTCCATCTCGAGCTCTCTCTCTTCTGTGAAGCAAACCCATCTCGAAGCTCTCTTCTCCATGGCGTCTCATCTCGAATGAAGCCTAGCCTCAAGCTTCGTCTCTCAAGCTCTCCCAAGCTTCTCACTCCATCTCGAGCTCTCTCTCTTCTGTGAAGCAAACCCATCTCGAGCTTCTCTCTCTCCGACGCCTCAAGCTCTCTCCCTTGACGCCTCAAGCTCGAGCTCTAGCTCTCTCTTCTCACTCCATCTCGAGCTCTCTCTCTTTGAGGTAAAAGTCTATTGTTCTCTCTCTCTTTGTTCTCTATCTTTTAGCTCTGTTTTATTGTTCATTGTGATGGTTTTTGTGTGA